TATTCATTTTAAGGAGAGGGATACTAAAGATGAGAAACTAGTGGAGAAATCTTTTAAGAACAGCATCCTTCTAACAATAAAATACCAAGCGTCGCAAACTGCCCTGTGGAACCAAAGCAGCGACCAAGATCCTGCCTAAAGCAAGCAATTCACTCACAAAACTACAGTCATTTTAGGAACTAGAACAGAAATATTCAAGGATTCAGAGTAGTAACAAGGTCAGCAGCCAAATGTCCTCTGCAATGTCCTCACTGCTGGGGCTTTGGCCAAGTGTATTACAAAGATTGTAACTGGATAAATGGCTCCTAATAAATAGGCTTCCATACCCAGGGTCCTGCTCGGAGTCATTGTACACAAGGGAAAGGTTATTTTGCATCACAAATATAGATAGAACCTGCCTCTTTTTAACAAATAGAAAAGCTGGAAAGTGCACCACAGTTGAGAAGACTCCTATGAGAAGATTTCCTATCAGCACATCTAGCATTTCTGCTGTGGCACCTTGCATGCTCTTTACCTTGAGCACAAGAAAGCATTGCTAAAGGCAAAGTTTCTGTAGGCTTGTTAATAAGTGTATGAATAGGGCACTCCAAAGGGACTGCAAAGCCAGACCAGGAGCTTCAGCCAAATAAGTTTAGGAAATCCATGCAGGTGGAACTGAATCCTAATAAAAAGGAGGCATTTGCCCTCATTTTTTAACATGCTCCTTTCTAGCCAGAACATTGCATTAACAGAACTGGAAAGTCTGCAGCAGTGATGTTCCAACTAAAGCAAGACCAAGGACCTGGACAGTGCCTCATTCCTCATCCAGGTCTTACTAAACTGCCACCTAAGTTCCCTTCTTTAAAGGATCAGGGTGCACCTAGTTGCTACCATAGAGCTGGTCGTGTGTGGGGCAAGAGAAAGAGCCAGATGAAACACCTCAAGGATCTTAGGAGCTGAGGACTCAGACCACGAGTTCCCTTAGTCACTGCAAGGATTTATGCTGAGTGGCTCGTGGAGGACAGGGATTCTGTCATCTGCTGTATCACACTTCAAAGCAGCCAAGATAGAGGAAGGACAGAGACAGACCCCATACAGAACAGAACACATCACTACCTCCTCAAGGTGGGCAACTCCTCTGCATCAGTGCCTCAGTCTTTCAGGTCCAAAGCAATTACATCAAGCTCAGTTTATTGCTTCACCTTCCCCCAGGCACTCATTTACCTGCAGCAGACACTTCAAATACAAACTGTGTGAGAGCTGCAAAGGAAAAGCACACTTACTTTTTGATCTCCTCCTCTACTGCATTCACCCCTTCTGTCTGAGGGTTCTGGAATTTGTTAGTAGCACTTCCAAAGTCACACAGGACATAGTGGCCACGGTCGTGCAGCAGGATGTTTTCAACCTACAAGCATCACAGACAGATAGAGAATCAGACAAAAACTCAGTTGTGTTCTTCAGATGAGCCAGGGCTTTTAGTGCCTGAAGACATAACAGATATGTCTGACCCAAAAGCATAACATGACAGCAAAGGAAATAGGCATCAAAACTCTGTCACACCTCCTGAAACAGAAGTGAAATCATGGAAGCATAAGTGTAACTATGAACTCTCTTCCCTCTGCCACCTCTCCCTTCTCCTTTTGCAAGCACATTACCTTGCCTCTGCTAAGACCACCACGTGCTTGAGGACAAGAACTGTGTCCTGGTCTCCTTAGTGCTCATCTGAGGTGTGAAGACCCACAGTGTCAGTGGCATCTGATTTAGGGACAGCTAATACAAGCTGTCCACAGCAATACAAAGGGCTCTAACTCCTCGCTGTCCAGTGGGGCAGAGAGGAGGCAGATGGATGAGTGCACACACACTTCTGTACTTCATGAGATTATAACACCTCTCCAGTTCTTTGCCTGCATCTCATGTGTCACTCATTCAAAACAAACCTCAGCTGGTGCTCACACTTTAGTTGTCTGTGATCAGAATGCGCTGGGTGCCCTGTTGGTAGGCCCAAAACCAGTGGTTGTCTCAGCAGAGGTTCCTCCAGGCTGCTGAAAAGATGAGCCCTTTCTTTTAGACATTGCTTGGAATCAGACAACTGAAACCCACGCTGAAACCAACACCTAGGAGAGCTGTAAGTAAGGAAATAAAGCCAGCAGAGTCACTGCCTTTCCCCTAAATCCTCACACTTAATCACGCTGTAACAAAAGTCCAACTTGCATCCACCTAGGAAAGCTGCCTAAATGCTTCAACACTGACATAAGATGTGGAAAAGCCTGGGTTCAGTCTTCACTTTGGCAGAGCAGCCCCCTATTCCAGCTCCTCATCTGTCCAGTGGCATTAACAAGATGCTCTCTCAAGGGCATACATAGGATTTTTAATGTATTTATCTTCAATCAGTGTCAAATGCTCAGAGAGAGCCATGAGATAAAACACTGCTCAGCTATTTCCCAACACCCTCCGCAGGACTGTGGACTAACAAAAGCCTTTGGAAGCAGAGCTCCCCAGCAAGGCTGATCTTTACAAGAAGGAAAGAAAAAGAAGGAGTCAGCATTTTAAGCACCAGAAAATGCAGCCAAATCAGAGCAGCTGAGGGGGGAAAACGCTGGCTTGAAACCAAGGGTTAAACAACACCCCTTCCCCCTCCACCATCCATCTGCTTTGGATAAAGCACCACACACAGATGTTCTCCCGAGACCAACACTGACAGTGTTATTCCCTATTCCCTGCAAACATTCCCTATTCCCTGCAAACATTTCCAGAAGAGCCCTTCCACTTTAGCTGGCTGAAAAGTCTGAGGTGACTTCGCAGTTTCCAGCACTGCTCAACGCTTGCAGCTCCAGCTGCAGTCTCTGACGTGCCCAATGTCAGGTTTTCATGGCCCCAAAAAACATCTTTAAGGGAGACTATGAGCACGTAGCTTCTGCCTTTACTCTCTGAAACAAATGCTTTTCCTTGCTAAAAACCTGAAGTCATCAAAAGACTCTTGGGGCTGTTGAGCCTGGAGAGGAGAAGCTGCGTGGAGACCGCAGAGCAGCTTCTAGCATCTGAAGGGGGCTACAAGGATGCTGGAGAGGGACCTTCATCAGGGCCTGTAGGGACAGGCCAAGGGGAATGGCTTTAACCTGCCAGAGGGGAGACTGAGATGAGCTCTGAGGCAGAAGCTGTTCCCTGTGAGGGTGCTGAGGTGCTGGCACAGGGGGCCCAGAGAAGCTGTGGCTGCCCCCACCCTGTGGGGCTGCCCCATCCCTGGCAGTGTTCAAGGCCAGGTTGGACACAGGGGCTTGGAGCAACCTGCTCTAGTGGAAGGTGTCCCTGCCCGGGGGAGGGGGTTGATATTGGATGAGCTTTAAGGTCCCTTCCAACCCAAACCAAGCTGGGATTCTGTAAGACTGGACAGACACACAGTGGTGAGGGATAAGGAATAAAGCTGTCTTCAACCAGCAAAATCAACACTCAGCTTCTCATGAGAGCAGTGGCTTCTAAGGCAAGTGCTTCTAAGCTCACGTGGTGATTTGGGTGGGATGCATGCCCCAAGTATACTCCCAGACTGCTTTCCTGCATCTTCTGGTCTCTAGAGGCGTTTCCACATCCCTTTCTCCTGTGGCCCCATTCACTATTTGCTTCTGAAAGCTTGTTTACTATTTCATAGCCAAGAAATTAATGCAATGTGACATTGAAGAGCTCTAACTGATTTTGGCACAGGCATATGCTTAACATGGTCGATACAAGGGTTTACCAAGAGAGGACTCAGGAACTATCACACTCTGAACACAGATCCAGCCAAACAAACTCCAGGCAGAGGCTTGGTGGTGGCATCAGGGCAAGACTTGGCATTACAAAGCAGGGTGATGGAAGGCAGTGAGGTAACAGCAGCACATCCCTTGATGTGTTGAGATAAGAACTGTCTTATCACACTACAGTGAAGAGCAACACCAGGAAATGCTGCTGCTGCTAAAATGAAAGCAGAAGAAACAAAATCCTCAACAGAAGAGACCAACTTTCTTACTTCAGAAAGCAGGGAAAGGGAAGGAGAAAGATGCTTTGATCAACAGCATCCTCTGGGTTGACTGATCGAGTATTTTGGTGTATCGTGCTGGGTGTCTACTACAGGAAAAATGAGCCACTCATCCACAAGCCACTCCTGGAGCAAGATGGGGACAGACTAGAAGCACCACAGGTAAAATAGGAGACCTCTCACTGTGGAAAACTCTGAGCTGTAGAAATCAAAGCTGGCTCTAAGATGGTGCTTTTAACAACATGATGGACCACTCAGTGGATAAAGAACTGGCTGGATGGCCACACAGAGAGCTGTAGTCAATGGCCCAATGTCCAGTTGGAGACCAGTAACGAGTGGTGTCCCTCAGGGATCAGTGCTGGGACCTGTGTTGTTCAATCTTTGTTGGTGACATGGACAGTGGGATTGAGGCACCCTCAGCAAGTTTGTGATGACACCAAGCTGTGTGGCTCGGTTGATACACTGGAGGGAAGGGATGGGATCCAGAGGGACCTGGACACGCTTGTGAGGTGGGACCATACCAACCTTATGAAGTTTAACCAAGCCAAGTGCAAGGTCCGGCATCTGGGTTGGCACAACCCCAGGCACAGCTACAGGCTGGGTGGAGAAGAGATTCAGAGCAGCCCTGCGGAGAAGGACTTGGAGGTGGTGGTTGATGAGAAGCTTGAAATGAGCCCATGTGCCCAGGGAAGCTGTGGCTTTTTTCTGGCGGTGTTCAAGGCCAGGTTGGACACAGGGGCTTGGAGCAACCTGCTCTAGTGGAAGGTGTCCCTGCCCATGGCAGGGGGTGGAACCGGATGAGACTTAGAGGTCCCTTCCAACCCAAACCAGGCTGGGATTCTGTGATCAGGAAAGAAAACCTTAACAAACACCCCAGGGATCACACACTGTACTTTTCATGGCCTTTATCTGCCCACTTTTGCTTACAGGCACACTGCTCAAAGGTGGTGTCCCCAGCTGCTGGTTACACACCACCAGTTGGAGGCTCTGCCAACAGGAGGCTGTTCTGCTTCAGGCAAAGCCTGTTGGGTTAATTCAGAATCACAGCTACAGGCCACTGAAGCTAATCCAGCTGCACTTGAAAGGGCTTAGAGATTATTCACACTATCCCTTCTGCTGGCAGAGCTTTCTGGGCAGGAACCTCCAGCATTAGAGCAACATCAAAGAGCTGGAAGGCAAAAAAAGCCTCCAACCCCCAAAGTCAACATCTTCACTCTTCAACAGGGTTATGTTCACCCCAACAAAATACCTACCTGCTGATGCCTTTCCTTACACTCAGAACTTGTACAAAGCTTTGCTGGCTCTAATCTCTCTCTTGGAATCACAGCTCCCCCTTGGCACTGCTAAGTTTGAACTCCAAGGGAAAACATGCCTAAATCATTCATTTTGGGTTAGCAGTTAGATTCCCAATTGAGACTGGAGCTGCAGAGGCCATCACAACAGAAATAATACAATGGTCAAATGGGAAACATGCCACAAAGCAGAGAAGAGCCAACTCTCTTTCCTTGGGCACAGCTTACCAAGAGCCAGGCCTTGCAGAAGCTCTACTGCTCTAAGCACACAGCAGTGGGCTGGACATCAGACCCTAACAACCCATTTCAATTGCAGCTCAGAGTACAAAGCAACACTCAAGATCAACTCATTAATGCACCACAGATGTCCCAGAATTCATTCACATGCCACACAATGAGTTTGTTCCTTATTAAAACCTCCCAGGGATCTGCCAAAAGGTAACAGCAGGGTTAATATCATCTGAAGAGCTCCCTGGTCCTAAGCCTCATGAAACATGTTGAATCACACCAAACTCTGAGGATTTCCCCCCTCCCTGCACTACCTGCCTCTCGTTGGCACATGTGGGGTCTTTTGCTCCTATAAAGCAGCAGCAGCACAAAACAAACATCTGTTGAGGGCTCTGAAAACAGAGCCTGACCTACAAAGCACATCTGAATTTCAAATGCACGCAGGAGCCTCCTTCTTGTCTGAATGAGTTATTCAGGCATTTTATGAGCTGCTTGAGAAGAAAGGGAACATCTTTCTGTTTGTTTGATGACAGGCATGGGATTTTTCCAAGGCAATCCCCTCTGTTCCCAGCTAAGCACACAGGAGTTTTACAATGCTCTTTCATGGTCAACACAGAGTCAGAGGCCAGTTTCAAAAGCTTCTAACGACTCCTGCCCCGAGGCCAACATCTCTGGAAGGATGCTTTTAATGTGGGTCCAGGAAACAAATTTACAGCACAGCTTTCTGCTCCCTACCTTCTAAGATCCTTGGTGTTTCAGGTGGTAGAAAGTCACCGTGAATAATTCACCAGATGCTTTTCTCTGTGCAAACCAGAACTATTCACCAACGTTTGTGTGCTTTAAGTAGATCTCTAGATGGTAAACATATGGTAAGGAGCAATGAGAGGCTCGTTTCTGTTTTTAACTTCCAGTAGAGAGAGATATTTATGCCTGCTTTTCCTCACTGCTAACAACAGAAGCACAGCACCAGCACTCAAAGCCTGTCTGCCGTGGCGTAGGCAGCAGACAGACACGTTGAGGAGGATGCCCACTCCCTGCTGTACCCGTGGAATCCACAACTCACCTTCAAATCCCTGTGGATGATGGGTGTTTTACACTGGTGCAACCTGGCCACGGCTTCGCAGGTGTCACAGAAGATCTGCAGGACCTCGGTCTCCGTGAAGCCCGTCTGCAGGCGCTGGTTCATGAGGTTCACCACCTGACCCCCTGAGCAGAAACAGCACCAAGAGTCAGAGCAGGGACATGGCTGCAACAAGGGAAATACTCCAGACAAACAGAAGCTGGCCTGGTCTAAGCCCCAGTCCTACCAGACATCACTTGTCTTTGTCTCTCCCCACACTGTGCCTGTACAGTCAGTTCAGGAGTTCAAATACCAAACCTTCCCCAGAGGCTTCTTACTCATCTTGTGTTGTTCTCATTTCCTCATCTAAATCCCAGGGGGTTTTGCATAGCTGGCAGGGGGTGGTTCATCTCATCTTGGCTTTGAACAAGAGCAGCATGTTAGCTTCTAAGGCCCGCAGTCACCTCGCTGTGTTAACACTCAAATGTGATTCTGAGCCACATCTTTTCCTTTCTTCTTCAAAATAAGACTTTTTTTTGGGTCGGGTTAGAGAAATAAAAGGCTGAATATGGGGCACCCACAGTCCACTGAGCAGTTTGGCACATATAAGCAAGAGGAGGGAGAAAGTGAGATACTAAAATCCCCCATACACTAATAAGTGGCTTGGCTGAAGGCATAGACTGGCAAAGCACACTTAAAATCCATCTGGAACAAGGGAAACTCCAGACAAACAAAAGCAAGTTTTCATGAATGAGTCCTGAATTTGCCTCAACTTTGAGGTTTTGTTGCTGTCGAGGCCTTTCCAGCACAATCCAATTCTTCCCCTCTCAAAGCACCCTACATACACAGGGGAAAATCTCCTTTCTGAACCTTTGGCAAAGCAAAACTGCATCATTTCACATCACAAGCATCAGAAAAAGGCATTTGCATGGTACAAAAGCAAAGCTCAGCCTAATAAACATTACAGCTGCAAACATTTCACATTCCAAGTGAGTGCAGCTCCGCACACAAAGACACACTGATTTGGTTTGGAAACTGTTAGACACAAAAGGGAAAAACCAACATATAACAGCAATTCCTGTGCTTCAGTCTGAATGGTGGAGACGGAGGCAGATGTGTGCTGAGCAGAGCATCTGGCAAAAGCAAACCATGTGAGAATCACAGAATCAACCAGGCTGGAAAAGAGCTTTAAGCTCATCAAATCCAACCATTCCCCAGCCCTGCCAAGGCCACCACTGACCCAGGGCCTCAGCTACAAGAAACAACCACCTTGCAATGGAAGGAAACACCTTAGAAAGATAGATTTTAGGTCATCATGGCATAGAGGGGAGGCTGATGCAGCTGGAGGAAGCGCATTGTGGATTGCTGTGGTTCTGTGCTTCCTTCCACCATGAGCTCTGCAACCTGGAGCAGAGTAAGGATTTACTAGGAGTGCCCAGGCCTGTTTCTTACAACTCTCTTTGTGATATTTAGGTTTAGGCTTGCTTAGGTAATGATTCCTTCAGCAAAACTACACTTAAGGCTCTTCCTTTTACCAGCAAACCAACCCAATGCAGTTAGTCAGGATCCCTGCATCAAAACGAAGGAGCAAAGAGGGGATGGCAGAGCACAGAGCTGTACCAGGCACGTTTAAAGGCATTTTAGCATCTAATTGTTCAGGCTGCAATGCACCTGGCTTCAGCTAAAAGCCAAACAGTGCCATGAATACCTATTTCTATCAGCTGCCACCATCCAAAAGCAGCCAGAGACGTGTGAAGTCACCTGGCCAAAACATTGCTTTTGCTTAACACCGCTCCTGTGAGAGGCATTTGAGCATGTTATTGTGCCAAACACCACATCCCAGTCACAGGAGATCAAAGCTTTGGGACATCTGGAAAAGCCTGGAAGAGCCTGTCTGGCTAGAGACAGCCAAGCAAAAAGGTCAGAGGTAAGAGGAATACTTCTTGGTTTCATGTTATCCATTCTGTGCTTCTTCCAGAACAATCCTAAGTCAGGCTGAAGTGGAAAAAAGCTTGCAATATGATATAAAGTGAAGGAGAATTTCATTCCAGAGCCTGGCAGCTTTGCAACAGCCACTTCTTGTGTGGATCAATCAGCCTATGGAAAACAGCAATACATATTTAAGGGTTGACCTTCACAATAGAAAGGATTTAGGACCACCCTGGGCAGGGGCAAAGGCGGTACAAATCCCATTAGCAGAGTCAACATAGCCTCTTCTCCACACCCAGTATTAGCTTTGCTTTGCAGAGCAGTTCCTTGGGAGCCAAGGAAAGGCCAGGCATAGGAAGAGGTTTGGTTTTTTCACAGGGAGATGCTGGGTAAGCACTGAAAAGGGGCAAATCCCCACTGAACACCACTCACCTCGACAGAAGTCCATCAATATGAGCACTTCCCACACGTCCCCGCTGCTTACGGAGTTTATGCTGGAATCAATGTATCCCACAATGTTCTTGTGGCCAGACAGATCCCGCTGTAAGGTAAGATAAATTCAAAGCATAAGCCAGCCAGGTAGAGTGAGCAACGTTTCTACCTGGTTCCTCTCACTGCACAGCTCTCCCAGCTCTTCAGGACAACTGGATTAATCACCACGTGCGACTTAAACCCAAGGTCTGTCACTACCTGTTCTCCTTCCAGAAGGACTTGAGACAACCAGCAGAGAAACAGCCACCCTGATGAACTAACTCATTCAGGGATCACTCCAGATCTCTGCATGCTCCCTTAGACGGCTCAGGCCAAGCCACCTGGAGCTGCTCCTCTTTCCCATAGCGGGGAGAACGAGGCAGGAGTTTGTGGTGGTGGTGTGGACATGCTGTGCTTGCTTTTCTCATTTCCTTCCACTCTTCTGCTGGAAAAGAGTATCTCAGATCTTCACATGCTCAAAAACCCCATTAAGGTTTAACTTTGGTTTTAGAAGAACCTCCAGTAACTCAATGGATTAAAGCACAAGTCCTCATACCAATGACTTATCTATGACACACGCAAGGAAAAGTCATTTCTTTGGGTCACCTCCTTCACACACATTCAGCTTCAGCAATAAGATTCTGCTGGCCATGTTCTGCTCTAATACTGTAGAATTAAACTTAAGTTGAGAATAATACTTTATTGTACAAAAGCTAGGAAAGAAGGAAATATTTCCTTTTAGTTATCTACTGGTTTCTTCAAGACAAACATTAGTGCTTATGATAGGGTTCAGTATGGGAGCAAGCAGACCTGCCAAGTGAGATGGATACTCCTCACCCTCCCCTTCCAGGTTAGCCACCCATTTCACACGAAGGAGACAGCAGCAAGCAAAATCCAAGTAAACAAGCTTTGTGAGCACAGCTCAATGCTTTGATGTAAGATCTAATCTCAACTTTTCCCACATAGCATTAACTACAGGACAACAAACCATGCCCAAGAGCTCCACTGCGCTATCACCCAACTCCAGAAGTTAACTTTAAAGGTATTAACCTAATTTAAAGCTGTTTCAAAACACACACCCAGAACTGCTACAAGGTTAGAGCTTCTAATATGAAGATCCTCTACCCCAAACCTACACCTCGTGTTGGAAATGAGCAGAATCAGGATTTTAGATTCATTCCCTGCCTCACAGCTGCTGTAAGTGTTCAGCAGTATCTTTGAATACAGCTTCAAAGGGGGCACTTTCCATGTTTACCAGGCTCCAAACGAAAGTAAGCAAATCTATTTGGATCATCTCCATTTCTTCTTTGTTTAGAGATATTAAAAATAGCTATGCTATAACTCCTTGTAGCCAGTAATCTAGAGACACATCTCAGTGCTTATTATAAATACCTCCCTGTTTCATAAGGCCAGGCAGTAACCACCCCACAAGCGCTGTTTTAATCTGCCAACCTCATCAATACAGACATAACCATCTCAACCCCAAAGACAGGAGCTATGATGGTACAAATTGGTCTCAGGATATAGGTCTTCCATTGATGCACTGACTGGAGTTCAGAGATGGTACATCAGCAGCATCAGCCTTTTCTGATGAAGTCTAAAAGGGTGAAGACTTTAGCCCTGACCCGAAGATGGTGAGACTGAAGTTTAACACCCCCTCTCAGCTCACCTCTTCAGCTCTTCCTTTCCCCCCTAAGTCATGGGGTTGACATAGGAGGTTTTTCCTCCCTGAAATTCCCTCTGCTTTTTCACCTACCACGTTTTTCCTGTCCACTGAACCTATTTCCATTTTAAATAGTTCAGTAAGAGATTTCCACATAGTTGGTAACTCCAGGAGTTAGGTCCTTCCAAAAGCAAGCCAATTTTGCTACGAACACACACAGTTTGGGACATGCTGCTACACAGATCACAGGCAGAAGGTGAGCAGGCTCTCTCACACCATCCCACACCCAGTCTGGGGCTCCAGTGCAAGGTGGTGACTTACCATGATCTGGATCTCCCTTTTGCAGACCTGCAAGTCGTACTCGTTGTTGACGTACATCCGCTTCAGGGCGCATTTCATCCCGTTGTTAGTCCTCACCAGAAACACTATTGCAAATCCACCTGTGGAAAACACAAACCAGCCTGTTCATTAGCAAAGAAACCTCTTGGTCCTTGCCTCCAACCCTGCCCCTGCCTCCAGAAGAGGAAGGACACTCAGCAGCTACCAACCGAGCCATGGTGGGAGCACCCTCACGTGTCCTTAGCTCCCAACTCTGCCTAAACAGTTCCTTCTGCAAACTGAGAGGAATCCAAGGGGGGAAACCTTGGATTAATGGAAGCAAAGTTCACATTACCCTAAACCCAAGCAATTACACTGGTTACTTGTCCTGCCAGACATTGCTCCATTAATTTCCATTCTGAAGAAAGCTGAAGTACAAACAGCAAAGTTGCCTTGGACAGAAACCAGAGCTACAGATCATCCACTGAATCACCAAAGGCCTGAACTTAAAAGGCTTCCCAACTTTTGAAGCAAAGTCACATAACAAAGCTGCTTTGTGCAAGAAGCATTAGAAACCATCTCCCCCACATGGTTTGATGTCAGTGCTTTTAAAAAAGGACAGAAGAACAAATAGCAAAACCCAAACAACCACAATTCATTTTGTGCTCACTGCTGGTAGCAAAGTCAGGACTCCCGGGATACGGGACTTGTTCAGGATGAAAGCTTTTCATCTGTTAGCAATGCATCAAATCTCAGGGGTTTAGGCCTGGACAGAAAGAGGAAAAGCTGATGGAGGTATTTAGGCATCAAAGTTTCCCACCTGGCTCCAGAAGACCCAAATGCATCCAAAGAGTCTCATGTATCCAAGAAGTGCTCCACAATGGTAAGAAGGGAAGCACGACACCACTGTCGATGCCACAACCTAACAGCACTTCATTTGCTCTCTGTTACCTTCTGTTACAGCACTTAATTCTTTTATGCTTAAGGACTTCTGAAGTCCCACTACACCAAAAGCTGCAGTTACAGACTGTAAAAAGCCAGTCACACCCCAAAGAATTCCCACTTTCAAAGTCTGAGCCCGTTGGAGAATCCCTTTCTGCTGCCAGGAACCACCAGGTAACAATACAGACAGAGTTATATTTGACATGTTTGTACCTAAGCATCACTAAGGGTTATTTAAAGACTGGAAAAGAGCAAATGACCAGCCAACACTGCTGTGTTCAAAGGCTAACCCTCCCCATCCGTTACCACAGAGCTTTACAGCACCCATTACAGCCAAAACCACTACAGGAGTTCCAGATGCATATCCCCTGCCTGTCAGCACCAGAGCTTTACACTCTAAAGTCTCCCTTAGCATGCAAACCCCTTAGTTTTACACATCACAGTTGGCCAGAGGAACTAGACCAGGTTTGCTAAGGAAGCCCCACTGACTTTAAGGAGCAGAACTAACTCATAGCAGCCCCAGAGAAGCTGCAAAAGATGCAAGAGAGAGAATAAGAGGAAAGAAAAACAGGAGGATGTTTTATTGCAGTCTCGATTATCATCATTTTGTTCCATATCAGAGTTTGGAAGGCAAAAACCTCCTCTCCAGGGGTGCAGTTCCCTTCCTGCCAGGCCTGGAAGGCAGCAGGACACCGTATCTCTGTTCACAACACCCAGCAGAAGGAACCATGAGCTGAGCAGCACGAAGATCAATTAAACTTTCTTTAAACAGCAGATCCACTAAATCCAAGGCCCTCTTCTTCGAAATCTCTGCTTCAGCTGAAGTGGGACCAGTGCCTGAGACCAACTGCTAGTGTCTCCTTAGCAAAGTTTTGGGCTAATGTACTTCTCCTCCCATCTGGATCCTGGGCTGATGGACAAAGTCACTCCTGGCAGTGTCCAAGGCCAGGTTGGACACAGGGGCTTGGAGCAACCTGCTCTAGTGGAAGGTGTCCCTGCCCGGGGCAGGGGTTGGAGCTGGATGAGGGCCCTTCCCACCCAAACCAGTGTGGAATTCCATGATCTTCAGACAGAGCAGCAAGAGACAAAGCCTTCAGGAGGCAGAGGATGCCTCCAACATGTATAGAGTTGTCCCAATACTTAGACAAGCCATAGGAAAATTACATCCTTGTGTCCTTCTCTCCCTTACCCGTAACTCTGCAAACTTCAGCTGACGACACCACACGCGGAAGCTCTGCAAACCCATCTAACTTCTTCTGTCTGCAAATACACCTACCAATTTGATTACTTCGTTATTAAACTCCCACTGGCTGCAGATTCAAACATGACAACTTTGCTACTAGTGAAAGCAGCACGCTGCTCTGCAGAGAAAACAACTGATTTCACCAGGGTGCATGCACCAATTGTCACACAGCAATCTCCACGAAGCACCAGCCTTTGGAGAAGCAAAACTTGATGATCCACAGCCACTCAAACAAGGGTGCAAAGTTTTACTAAGCAACTCATGTGTCGTCTGGTCTGTCTCAGTTAAGCAGACCACAATATTCCTTCCAAACTCCATTTAATGAGCCCAGGAAACTGGGTTGAGGATTTGATCCAGGAAGGCACAAAGTAATCATAGAATGGTTTGGGTTGGAAAGGACCTTAAAGCTCATCCAATATCAACCCCCCGCCACGGGCAGGGACACCTTCCACTAGAGCAGGTTGCTCCAAGCCCCTGTGTCCAACCTGGCCTTGAACACTGCCAGGGATGGGGCAGCCACAGCTTCTCTGGGCACCCTGTGCCAGCGCCTCAGCACCCTCACAGGGAACAGCTTCTGCCCCAGAGCTCATCTCAATCCCCCCTCTGGCAGGTTCAAGCCATTCCCCTTGTCCTGTCTTTGCAGGCCCTGATGAAGGTCCCTCTCCAGCATCCTTGTAGCCCCCTTCAGATGCTAGAAGCTGCTCTGAGGTCTCCACACAGCTTCTCAAGAACACCTCACTCGCCTCAGGTCGTCATTCTACATTTAAATCAGAGGAGGGGTGAAAAATACCACCTTCATTGGAATTTCTCTGCATTTATTACACTTCCACTGCTAATTGGCGTCAGCACTCCCAGTTCTGCTGCAGGGAACAGCACTGCAGACAGTAAAACAGCAGGAGGATGAGGGAAAAGGATAGAGAAAGAGCACAAAGAACAGCAGCTTCTTGCCACACTCCTCACACACAGACAGCTCTAGAAGTACAAGATCAAGGTCCATTAGCAGGACATATGGGCCCATTTCTTAGGAATTCCAAGTAGCCACATGTGTAAATTGGCTTCCAAAGGAAGCAGAAGGTCCATAGACAGGCCAGAGAAATCAGGCCACCAGCTTCCATGTATCACACGTGTATCTACAGAAATGGGGCTTTATCACATCCATGCACCAGAGCTGCAACAGGAATCTTGTCCCTGCCAGGAACATTTTGGACTCCAGGTCTTTCCCTTTCCAGAGCTACAAGTCCATCTGCTTATAAGTTTCTCCTATAACAACTGTATACCTGAATGCCTGGAAAGGGCAGGACCCCTTTAGTGGTCCATGTCTAGATCCAGAGGGATTTCCTTTGAAGTTTCTTGAGCACAAGAGCTGATTTTGGAGCTTTGGTCTATCCTTCAGCCCCCAAGTTCCTCGTGTTTGTTACTGACTGCTCACACACTGCACGTCCTGCTGCAGAAATGGCCCTCACCCAAAACTGCTGTATTGCAAAAAAGGTGAACAGTAAAACCACATCATCATTTAAGGTCAAAGTAAGCACGTTACTACTGAATACACTGAAGTATATTGAAGCACTTGAAACCTTTTTCTTGGCAACTGTGGCCAATACTTCAGGTTCATGCTGGAAGAGTGGTTCCAAAAGGACCTGTGCTCCTACAGCTACCTCAAAATCAGCTGCTTTGTTGGTAAGCAGCAGACAGAAAGTGTAATTCCCATTTTTCAGCAGGGTATGACAAAGAAGAGGGGAAGGAGAACCCAAGAAATGGCTGCACTGGGGAGCCCAGAACAGTGATGCTGCTCAGCACAGCCTGGGAAAACACCATGGAGTATAAAATCACGGAATCAACCACGCTGGAAAAGAGCTTTAAGAGCATCAAGGCCAATCACTCCCCAGCAGTGCCAAGGCCACCACTAACCCCTGGCACTGAGGCCTCGGCTACCCGGGCTGTGAACACTTGCAGGGACGGTGCCTCCAGCCCTGCCCTGGGCAGCCTGTTCCAATGCCTGAGCACCCTCTGGGCAAGGAATTGTTCCTCAGCTCCAGCTAACCCTGCCCTGGGGCAGCTTGAGGCCATTTCCTCTTGTCCCATCCCTTGTTCCATCCCTTGGAAGCAGAGTCCAGCCCCCTCCTGGCTCCATCCTCCTGTCAGGCAGTTGCAGAGAGCGATCAGGTCCCCCCTGAGCCTTCTCTTCTCCACACTAAACCCCCCAGGTCCCTCAGCCCTTCCCCATCACACTTGTGCTCCAGGCCCTGCTCCAGCTCCGGTGCCCTTCTCTGGCCCCGCTCCAGCACCTCAATGTCTCTCCTGTATCTACACAGCAGAGGAGGGACCTGTCTGCAGAAGCTGGGGGTGCCTTCTCCGATGGGGTGCTGCCCAGCTCTCGCTCTCTGCCTGGTCACTGAACAAGCAGGTTTTGCTCAGACAAGTCACCCAACACTCATCTGGGCTCTGGTGGCTTTTCACTGCATCAGGCTGAAACTAATACACTTACTTCAGCTTGTAACTCTCTGCTGAGGCTGCTCCCCGCGGGTTAACCCTTCCTCCTTGCACACTACGTAACTACATCACCACCTCCTCACCCCAAGGACCGCTTTCAGCTTCCAGAGCCTCAGACCACAACCAATTTCTCCCTCATTATTCCGGTCCAACCCCCAACTTTCTAAATCTGGGCAAAGTTGAAAGGAACCAGATCAAAGCCAAATTGACAACAATTATGCTGAAACACTGCCAGATGCGCATTACAAGACCATTTACTTCTATTCTCAGTGAGCAGCAAGCAAGGCAACCCTTCCAACAGGCACAGGCTGCCAGCTCTAATGCTCTATGCCAGCTCCAGTACAATAGACACGCCAGGATTTGGGTAACTCCAATCCAACCAAGGTCAAGAGCTGCCTCAAGTGAAGTCAGATAACTGTGCTACATACAGCCAGAGAGGGTGGCTCACACAAGGCAGAGCTTGGAAGCAAAGTAATCCATGCAATGGGCACATCCTCTTTGTTGGTAGAGCCTTTTTCCCAGTACACGGATGGAAAACAAAAGCCAAGAGACCAGAGTCCAGGCTTCAGATGCAATGGAGCAAAGAAACCCACAGGCTTTGCAAGCAGCAGAAGGGAGAGGGGCCAGAAGCAAAGCTGAGTCAGCTCAGGGGATGGTTTTCCCTTGCAGTCATGAGCAAGCACCTGTGATTTAAGTTCTGAAGGAAATGCAACTCTTTTCCCACACAATCCCACTCTCCTTTCGAGACATAAAGGGTTCTTGGTAACTTTTAAAACACATTAACACTGTTGAACAGGTAGTGTGCAGTCAGTATCACAATTACCTCCATGTATCCTCAGCTGCATCCCCAGAGCATGAGGAGCAGGTCGAGGGAGGGGATTCTCCCCCTGTATTCTGCTCTCCTGAGACCCCCCCTGCAGCACCATGTACAGTTCTGGTGTCCCCAGCATAAGGACATGGAGCTGCTGGAGCAAGTCCAGAGGAGGCCACGAGGATGAGCAGGGGCTGGGGCACCTCCCCTATGGGGGCCGCTCGTGAGCCTGGAGAATAGAAGCTGCTGGAGACCTCAGAGCAGCTTCAGTGTCTGAAGGGGGCTACAAGGATGCTGGAGAGGGACCTTCACCAGGGACTGGAGCGACAGGACACGGGGTGATGGTTCAAACTGAAACAGGGGAAGTTCAGGTTGGAGATAAGGCAGAAGCTCTTCCCTGTGAGGGTGCTGAGGCGCTGGCACAGGGTGCCCAGAGAAGCTGTGGCTGCCCCATCCCTGGCAGTGTTCAAGGCCAGGTTGGACACAAGGGCTTGGAGCAACCTGCTCTAGTGGAAGGTGTCCCTGCCCGGGGCAGGGCTTGGAACTGGATGGTTTAAGGTCCTTTCCAACCCAAACCATTCTATGAGTCTATGATTACCACTTGCTCAAGAGTCAGAAACAGCCATGGGTTCCCTGGGAAACATCACTGCCTTTAACACTCAGGAATGCATCTACCTGGACAGCAGCATAAGAACACTTACCCTACTACACACTTCTGCCCTGACCGTTGGTCTTGCTGACTGGTTCCAGGATAAACTGAAAAGAAAAGGAAGTTGCACTGCTCTCCAGTGAATACAGATGCCAGAGCAATTTCCATGCAGGCTCCTGGCAGTGTGTTGGCCAGGCTCCAGGGCTATTTTCAGCCCTTCTGTAATTTCAGCATGATGCAGAACTCTCCCCAGCCGGGTGAGCACTTCTAAAGTAGGTAAAAGCAGCTGCCCCAAGCTGCACGTGATCCCCTCTCCTACCTCTGAGCAAGGTAAGAAGATAGCACTCTGCTGCCCTTGAGTGCCTGGAGTCCTCCTGCAGCCAGCAACACCCTCCTGCACACAGGCACGAGATGCTGCTTCCAAACAGGTTGCACTAACTAATGCTGCAGTGAGGAAGTTCACAGATGCTGCACACCTTTATCCTGGGTGGATGCTGCACACCTTTATCCTGGGTGGACGCTGCACATCTTTATCCTGGGTGGATGCTGCACATCTTTATCCTGGGTGGATGCTGCACACCTTTATCCTGGATGGATGCTGCACATCTTTATCCTGGGTGGATGCTGCACACTCTTATCCTGGATGGATGCTGCACACCTTTATCCTGGATGGACACAGCTGCAAACCCCCCCCATCCCAGGTCTTTCAGAGCAACAAACCCACCTTGTCCTGGGATGGCATCCTTAGTGGTGGTGGTAAGGAACCACCAGAAATAGCTTGTCCCGAGAACCTCATTCCTGCCAACACCATTTACTGTATCTTCACAATCACTTACTCGGCTGTTTGAGCTGCATTTAAGTCCTGCTCCACAGCTTCGAGCACACCCTATCAGGTAAGTATTTAAACACAGAGAAGGAAGCAGGTATTCCTGAAGGCAGGATTTGTGCCTGCCAACAGGCCCCCATAAAAAATTAAAAGCTTGTTTTGTTCATGCTGAGTCAAAATAAACCAAGTTCAAGTGGAACCAGACAGTGTTTGAAGCACTTCACCCAAGTTAATCATAGTCCAGAAGAAGACTGGCTGGACTCTGCCCTGTACACACAGAGTAAAGCAGGTTGGATTTCACAGGATCTGCAGGACCAAAGGCCTTTGCACAGCCACCAGTGTTCCCAAAACACCTGCACTTTCTGTGTTATCCTGCTGTGCTGATCCACCACCCTCTACAGGAGACAGCAGGTACACTAACAAAACAGAACCAGCTTCATCCAAACACCATCTCCTTTTAAAACCCACACTGCAAGTACCTCCCAGAGACCTTAAGTGCTCTTTGCAGAGGTGGGAATGAGACATGATGATCTTCCAGCTGCATGTTTGAGCTCTGCAATCACAGCTACAAAAACATCTCCACCACTTGGATGTGTCTCCTCTCTGCAAACATTAAGTTTTGCCTTAACATCCCTCCTTCCACCTCCCCAAGGCTATGTTGAATAACCCAAAAGCAGCAAGGTTTGAGGAGGAGGAATTACTCCTCTTATCAGTTAAGTTATTCAAATCATCGGGCTTGAAAGAGCCAACTGCCAAATCATCAATTCCC